AAAGCCAGTTTTGAACAGTTGCTTTGAAGCTGTTTGATCCCTAGTGATGATGCTTTTGATGAATTAGTCCTCTTCTCAATGATATTGTTCCAAATGTTTCAAACATTGTAATGTAATCATGTTATCATCATGATGGTGGTTTATGTTCTTTTTTGTTGCATCAGCCCAGCAAGCACTTTCTGTAACCAAGTTTTCTATGCTATACCAAAGGAAATGCCAAACAGGACATGATCTTCAGGTAAATAAAAGGTTTTATTTGTGATATCTCTTCATGCAGCAACTTTTTCCAGTTTAATGGATGCCCAGAACAAGGCTCATGAATTGGCAACCTTGTGCAAACATTTTGCATTATCTATGGATGTTGGAGATGTTTAGCCAATATCTACCATTTCACAAGAATGTCTGATGATTTCTTACCCATCTACATAGAAAACAAATTGCATCCTTCTGCTCCTCAACTGTGGACAGCCTCAGTATGGATGTCATTTTTGTCTTTTTTTTTTTGTCTTTTTCATTTTGACATGTATGCTAAAATATCAGCAGCTGTTTAAAGGCGTAATAGTAAATAGCCAGAATACTCTTGCTTCAGGCCATTCATTTCTGTCAAATAAGAATACCTACAAATTATTATTAATAAAGAGGCATTACTTTTGATTTGCCTTGTAGTTACTGCAGTAGTTTACAAGTAAAGAAGATCATATGTTATCTTAAATAAAGAAATTGGTTGAGTATTCTGGACATATTTTATCTGTTCATGTTAATTGATCATCACTGGATGAATGATATAATACTGAGCTAGTTATGCTACCCATTTTTTAAATAGTATGCCTTAACAGTGATTAAGGCAGTGATAGTGACAACAGTGTGTATTAAGATATTGATTTTAATTTGCCAGATTTTGAATTTGAATTTCACTTCAAGCATGGATATTTATGTTGTTAGATTTGTTTTTTAATGGGAAATAGAACATATTATATCACCATAATACATGGCATTGTACTTATTCTAATTAAATGAAACAAAAATTTAATAATTTAAAAGTTTAAAATAAACAGTTTTACCATTATATGCAATCTCTTATAAGATTCTTCATTTAAACTATTGAAAAACTTTCTTTAAATCTTAACTGCTTCTCAGATCATGTTTTTTTTTTACTAATCAATGAATTATAAACAGGCATTTCTTTATTTTTAGAGAAACATTCTGAATAGACAAATAAAAAAATTTAACTTGTAGAAATAAGAAGTAAATTTTCAGAAATAAAAAGAGACTTTTAAGCAAAATATTATTATTGATCTAATATCTGTAAAAAATCTTGGTATTAATGTTAAAACTATATACTTTTAAGTATTTTAAATTATTAAATTCTTCAGTTGCTTAAANTATAATAATAATAATAATATTCTTAACAAAACTCCGCCACACTACTAGCTGACTAGAGGCTCTGTTTGAAGAGACTAAGGAGTTTATGGAAATTTTTACTCGCTCTCAGGAGAGGGTAAGTGTCCCGTTTACCCCCTCTGTGAACGATCATGGCAGTAGACAAATCCAATAAAGGGAAAAAAGATTCCAGCCGTTAAAATTTAAAAACTGGTTCATCTTTGACGTTTACCAGCCAAGATATGGGGATGACTTCGAAGGAAGGAAAGGAAGAGGGGTACGAGACACCGTAGCTGTATTCAATGCCTCCAATTAGTAATAACACACGTATTAGCAAATAAAAATCAAAATATTGATAAAACGGAAATAAAATAAACATAAGAAATTATACAATTCATATCCAAAACATTAAAGTTCACTGTTAACAAGTTCGTCCAAAAAGTTACCATCACCGACGAACGTTACAAAGCGCCCCAATACGTCAATATTAAACTTGAGTAATGTGAAAAGGCATATAAAAAGTCACAAAATGTAAATTGCATTTAAACATTCTTCTACAATTAGAAATAATTTTATTATTTTTAAATAGGACGATAGTAACAGAAAATTTATATTGTCAGATTTATAAGAAAAAACGCAATAGTAAATAGTAAATACTGTTGTTGAAATTTCATTTCATTATTTAATTATACCTCGTATTTTAGATATGGTCAAATTTAATTCACATAATAAAATTTTTTGTTAGTTTTGAATAATAAATATAAAAAAGAAATCCTCATAGTACAGCTTTTAACTCCATTTATAATTACAGTCTTCATTTCTTTTCAGATTCTGTGATATGTGGAATTACATTGTAATTTTGTAGAATAATGTATTAAATAGCATTAAAAATATTGATTGACATATTCTGTTAGTGCATATTCTATTTCATTATAATCAAACTAAATTTTTCTTAGCAATGAATATTTTTAATAAAAGAAAATTTTTTGAGTAGTTCTAAAAGTTCAAAAATAAATTATTTTTAAAATATAAAAAAATGTTTTGGAAACAAAATTTTTTAAAAAAAAGTCAAGATTAAATTTGAGATATCGTATTTCCTGTAATAATTGCTCACTAGATGATTTTTTGTTGTTTTGTGGGTGATTGTTGGAGTTAAAAACTTATTGACATAAGAAAAGCAGCATGATTTCAAGAGAGACATAAAACTAATTTAATAACTAATGGAAAACTAGTTAAATCAGAATATTGTGACAAATACTGTATATTGTTATTGTTATTGTACAAGTGATGGCCAGTAAGCTAAAATGCATCTTATCCTGAAAGGTCCATTGTGAATACACACCCATGAAAGATTACTTCAAAAATCTGATCTCTTAAAAAGAGAGACAGTAGACGTTGAAGGACAGCTGATGAATTTTACCCTTGCCCAATAAAATGGAATCCAGAGAAACAATCCTATCTGAACAGACTCACTCACAAATTAGATGTAGAGAAGTCTCTTCAGCAGAACTGCAACAGTAAAAAGAAGTTGAGGAGGAAAGTTTCAGTTGGAACATATGTTTAAGAAACTAATCAAAGCTATTCATATTAACCAAAAAGTGAACATGATTCCTGTTGAAAGTCATGATGTCTTTAGTTTGCCCAAAGAGCAGTTTAGGCAAAAAAGTCTTTCTCTGATGACAAATATATAAAAATTATTTGAATTAAATACTTGAAATACTTTAATTTACTTTGTAAATTTTGATAATTCACAATATCAGTAATATTGAACATCAATAATGATATTAGCCAGTATTCATTTCTCCAACTTCAATATTGAAAAATATCATAAGATAGTCGATTATTCAGTAATATCAAACATCAGTAGTGTATCAATAGTTAGGTCAACTGATATAGTTTATCTCACAATACAAGTTAGATAGGTGATTATTACAAGAAGAATATTTACATGGATAATTGTTACAGGAAATACAATATGCTAAAAAGTATTCAATTGTTAGTATATGTCAAAGGTTCAAAGGTTGTGGAATTTATAACAAGTTAATTTTTATGTACACTGGTGTCCAAAATTATACTTTTATGTAGGCACACTACATAAAAGTATAATTTTGGACACCAGTGGAATATTTGAGGTAGAAATGATGTTAATACAAAAACTTAAAATTGTTATTGAAATTTGTATTTTCATTTTGTTGTCAATTATTTTGTTATATCAGTCATGTTTTTGATGATAAATGATAATACATTTTGAAATGCTGAATATATAAATATTGATAAACTTTGTATTCTTTATTTGAAAATATGAGAAACATTTAAAATTATTTTACAACAATTCATGTCAGTTTCATGATTTAGTAAATACAAAATAAATAATTACTGATGATTTGCCATTAGTAGAATTTTATTATCATTTTCTATAAGTTCATACTATTTACAAATGATATTTTTACTAGAGTAATTTTGATCATGATGATGAAAATTAAATTGAATGCTTTTGAATATTTTAATTAAAAATCATATTCTTATCATCTTTTAACAAGCATGAATCAATTCAATGAGTTGTTGACTTTGTTATCATATCACACAAATAGTCCAAAAAAAGATATTTCAACTTCTTTATTGTTATTACTTCAGAATACATTTCAGTGTAATTGATAAACAGGTTATTTAAATATATGAAACATTAAAGTGATATAATAAATTCAAATATTTTTAATACCAATATATGCCAGAATACTCTTGCTTCAGGCCATTCATTTCTGTCAAATAAGAATACCTACAAATTATTATTAATAAAGAGGCATTACTTTTGATTTGCCTTGTAGTTACTGCAGTAGTTTACAAGTAAAGAAGATCATATGTTATCTTAAATAAAGAAATTGGTTGAGTATTCTGGACATGTTTTATCTGTTCATGTTAATTGATCATCACTGGATGAATGATATAATACTGAGCTAGTTATGCTACCCATTTTTTAAATAGTATGCCTTAACAGTGATTAAGGCAGTGATAGTGACAACAGTGTGTATTAAGATATTGATTTTAATTTGCCAGATTTTGAATTTGAATTTCACTTCAAGCATGGATATTTATGTTGTTAGATTTGTTTTTTAATGGGAAATAGAACATATTATATCACCATAATACATGGCATTGTACTTATTCTAATTAAATGAAACAAAAATTTAATAATTTAAAAGTTTAAAATAAACAGTTTTACCATTATATGCAATCTCTTATAAGATTCTTCATTTAAACTATTGAAAAACTTTCTTTAAATCTTAACTGCTTCTCAGATCATGTTTTTTTTTACTAATCAATGAATTATAAACAGGCATTTCTTTATTTTTAGAGAAACATTCTGAATAGACAAATAAAAAAATTTAACTTGTAGAAATAAGAAGTAAATTTTCAGAAATAAAAAGAGACTTTTAAGCAAAATATTATTATTGATCTAATATCTGTAAAAAATCTTGGTATTAATGTTAAAACTATATACTTTTAAGTATTTTAAATTATTAAATTCTTCAGTTGCTTAAAGAATTGTGAAAGTTTTTATATGATTTAAAAATATTTAATATGTGTTTACATATTTTAAAAATTTACATTAATTATTTCAGCAATATGGTCCAATTTTGGATGTAGAAATAATTTTCAATGAGAGGGGGTCAAAGGTAAGGTATTTAAAGTAAAAGCTAATATTTTACAATAATAATTTGAGAAACCTAATTGAAATTCATGATAATATAAAAGGTAAAACATAATTTAATTTTATTGTGTTTAGGACCATTTTTTTTTATTCATATTCATGTAATTTTAACATATTTATTTTAACATATAATAATTTTCTTCATTATTATATTTTATTACAAGAAAAACTAATAAAAAGTATATGCACTACATTTAGAATAAAATTTTTTGTTAGTTTTGAATAATAAATATAAAAAAGAAATCCTCATAGTACAGCTTTTAACTCCATTTATAATTACAGTCTTCATTTCTTTTCAGATTCTGTGATATGTGGAATTACATTGTAATTTTGTAGAATAATGTATTAAATAGCATTAAAAATATTGATTGACATATTCTGTTAGTGCATATTCTATTTCATTATAATCAAACTAAATTTTTCTTAGCAATGAATATTTTTAATAAAAGAAAATTTTTTGAGTAGTTCTAAAAGTTCAAAAATAAATTATTTTTAAAATATAAAAAAATGTTTTGGAAACAAAATTTTTTAAAAAAAAGTCAAGATTAAATTTGAGATATCGTATTTCCTGTAATAATTGCTCACTAGATGATTTTTTGTTGTTTTGTGGGTGATTGTTGGAGTTAAAAACTTATTGACATAAGAAAAGCAGCATGATTTCAAGAGAGACATAAAACTAATTTAATAACTAATGGAAAACTAGTTAAATCAGAATATTGTGACAAATACTGTATATTGTTATTGTTATTGTACAAGTGATGGCCAGTAAGCTAAAATGCATCTTATCCTGAAAGGTCCATTGTGAATACACACCCATGAAAGATTACTTCAAAAATCTGATCTCTTAAAAAGAGAGACAGTAGACGTTGAAGGACAGCTGATGAATTTTACCCTTGCCCAATAAAATGGAATCCAGAGAAACAATCCTATCTGAACAGACTCACTCACAAATTAGATGTAGAGAAGTCTCTTCAGCAGAACTGCAACAGTAAAAAGAAGTTGAGGAGGAAAGTTTCAGTTGGAACATATGTTTAAGAAACTAATCAAAGCTATTCATATTAACCAAAAAGTGAACATGATTCCTGTTGAAAGTCATGATGTCTTTAGTTTGCCCAAAGAGCAGTTTAGGCAAAAAAGTCTTTCTCTGATGACAAATATATAAAAATTATTTGAATTAAATACTTGAAATACTTTAATTTACTTTGTAAATTTTGATAATTCACAATATCAGTAATATTGAACATCAATAATGATATTAGCCAGTATTCATTTCTCCAACTTCAATATTGAAAAATATCATAAGATAGTCGATTATTCAGTAATATCAAACATCAGTAGTGTATCAATAGTTAGGTCAACTGATATAGTTTATCTCACAATACAAGTTAGATAGGTGATTATTACAAGAAGAATATTTACATGGATAATTGTTACAGGAAATACAATATGCTAAAAAGTATTCAATTGTTAGTATATGTCAAAGGTTCAAAGGTTGTGGAATTTATAACAAGTTAATTTTTATGTACACTGGTGTCCAAAATTATACTTTTATGTAGGCACACTACATAAAAGTATAATTTTGGACACCAGTGGAATATTTGAGGTAGAAATGATGTTAATACAAAAACTTAAAATTGTTATTGAAATTTGTATTTTCATTTTGTTGTCAATTATTTTGTTATATCAGTCATGTTTTTGATGATAAATGATAATACATTTTGAAATGCTGAATATATAAATATTGATAAACTTTGTATTCTTTATTTGAAAATATGAGAAACATTTAAAATTATTTTACAACAATTCATGTCAGTTTCATGATTTAGTAAATACAAAATAAATAATTACTGATGATTTGCCATTAGTAGAATTTTATTATCATTTTCTATAAGTTCATACTATTTACAAATGATATTTTTACTAGAGTAATTTTGATCATGATGATGAAAATTAAATTGAATGCTTTTGAATATTTTAATTAAAAATCATATTCTTATCATCTTTTAACAAGCATGAATCAATTCAATGAGTTGTTGACTTTGTTATCATATCACACAAATAGTCCAAAAAAAGATATTTCAACTTCTTTATTGTTATTACTTCAGAATACATTTCAGTGTAATTGATAAACAGGTTATTTAAATATATGAAACATTAAAGTGATATAATAAATTCAAATATTTTTAATACCAATATATAAGTAATTTTATATTAAAACAAAATATAAAACCAGAAGAATGATTTTCTGTTATAATTTTATTAAGAAGAAATAATTTTTTATAATAAGAAAATAAAACACATTTAAAAAATTCAAAATATAAAAAATTTAGCATGTTAAATTTCTTATAAATTTTTGATTTTGGAAATAAATTTGTAATTCATACATACTCAGCAGTCCTTTATTTATTGAAACAAAAAATCTAATTTACAGTTTTTAAGCCATTGAACATTTACAGATTAATGTTTTGATGTTATTTAGGCTTCTAAAATGTGAACTAACCTTCATTGATTTGAATGCTGATATTATAGTCTCTTTCTTTTCATATTTTAATTTTTTGAACTGTACAATGAAATAGTTGATAACTAATTGAACTGAATTTTATAGAATTACAAAAGTCATTTTCTTTGTTTTTCATTTTATAGAAAAACTGTTTTAGTTGAGAAAAGCATTTGATCTGATCAAAATGATTTAAAACATTAATTCTTAATTTAATTATCATATAACATTGAAGTGTAATAAAATTTTTTGAGTAGTTCTAAAAGTTCAAAAATAAATTATTTTTAAAATATAAAAAAATGTTTTGGAAACAAAATTTTTTAAAAAAAAGTCAAGATTAAATTTGAGATATCGTATTTCCTGTAATAATTGCTCACTAGATGATTTTTTGTTGTTTTGTGGGTGATTGTTGGAGTTAAAAACTTATTGACATAAGAAAAGCAGCATGATTTCAAGAGAGACATAAAACTAATTTAATAACTAATGGAAAACTAGTTAAATCAGAATATTGTGACAAATACTGTATATTGTTATTGTTATTGTACAAGTGATGGCCAGTAAGCTAAAATGCATCTTATCCTGAAAGGTCCATTGTGAATACACACCCATGAAAGATTACTTCAAAAATCTGATCTCTTAAAAAGAGAGACAGTAGACGTTGAAGGACAGCTGATGAATTTTACCCTTGCCCAATAAAATGGAATCCAGAGAAACAATCCTATCTGAACNCATGTGTAGAAATTGTTTTAAAGTTTTCTGTAGTTAATTTAACAACTTTTATGTTAATAACTAGTTCAAAATTTATTATTTCATTGAAATTTATTTTTATTATTATTTGTAAATTTATATAATTCCTAGAATATTTAATCATTTTTTTTATACAATATAATTAGAATATAACTAATTTAGGCCTATAGTTACAATAAAGATAGATTTTCTAATTTGTTTTTAAACAGATAATATTTATCATCATCATTGTTTTATGTATTAATTTTTAAAAGTTAGCGTTAGAATTTAAAAGCAAATTTAATACATTTGCCTTGCTTTATATCTTAGGCTTTTATTAAAAAATAATAAAACTGGATTGATAGTTTGTTCATTCTATTTATAAAAATTGATCTTGGCATAGTTTCTAGCTACAGTACATGTTTACTTATTTTGTGTGGTGTTGCTTTGTCCATGGTCTTTCAATCTGTTATATGTATTAATGTGAAAATAATTAACTTATTTATTTATGTATTTATTTATTTTTGGGCACTAAAATTTTCCTGCATTATCCCAACCTTTGTTGTGCTAACCATCTGTCTCGTATTGTTTTAGATTTTTCTCCCATCTCCCATTTAGCTTCTGAAGCATGACAACATGAAGCTTAGGGAGGCAGAAGACAGGGAAATGGTGAAAATGACTCAATTGCCTTATGTGTAATATATGATTTTTTATTTGCAGAAGTATGGTCCATTAAATTGAAGTCTACTCATCTGTATGGTATAGCTTACCCATTGCACAGAAATTAATTTATTATGAAGTGCAGAGGTTAGCTTTCCCATTCAGCAGTTTAAAATTTCCCTGTAAATTTTTTTTGAAAATTTCTATACTTATTATCAGATATTGTAGTTGTTTCACACATTAATTAGAAGTGCCCATGCAAAAAAAAAAGGTCTGTTATGCATGAGGGCTTTTATGACACTGGTTCTGAGCTGATGCCTATGTCTTCACTGAGTAAATTAAATTTCTCTGACTTGTTCTTTGCAGGCCAAGTTCTGTTCTGGTGCACGGTACTTAATGCATGTTTCTTGTTTGTCTCATGCATGCAGGGATTCGGTTTTGTAACTTTCGCAAATAGCGTGGATGCTGATCGCGCACGAGAGCAATTGAACGGCACGGTGGTTGAGGGACGCAAAATAGAGGTGCATGACCATTTACCTTTGTGATAGCACTCACTTATTTATAAACTATAACACTTAAGTTAACTATAAGTTCAGCGAAGAAATGTCCATCCTGCTATTTATTTTTTTTAATATACCCATAATTATTATATTTATCACAAGTGATTGATTGTAGGAATGGGCATTTTATGTAAATGTTAAACAGAGCAATTTTTATACACTTTTTGGCTGATAATTTCTGCAGTAGATGTTTATAGTTTTTGCATTAGATTGTTGTATCTTTCGTTGGTTATGAATATATTCTTGTTTGTGTGTTGGCTTAATGTAAGTCAGCCACTATTTAGCTGTCTTGCATCTCTAGTCAGAATGCATTGTTTTTAAATAAGATTTAATCTGTAGCTGAACATGTTTCTCTTGCAGTGGTATCCACATTGCTTGAAAATATGCGCACGTTGCGCTGTGAGTAATAACTGGATTGACATTTCTTTTGCTGTTAACATTTTATTTTGATATTATCAGTAGTACTGTTTAAGATAAGTTTAGTTAATTTTGCTTTAGGAAAACATCACATATTATCTCTCTTTATTTCTCATAGAATTTAGAGTGATGGTAGCAAACATTCCAATACAAAATTTTTCATTGGAAATATTAGGTGACAGGTAAGAAACAGAAACAAATTTAACAGTTGCTTATTACTGTAGTGGAATTACCACTATCAGTGGGACTTCTGTTCAAAAGAACACTAAATAATTGAAAGAACAATTTAACCAAATTAGAAACATTATTATTCATCTAACATTTCTGAATAAATTTAAATGTGTAACACTGTTTTTCNTTCATCTAACATTTCTGAATAAATTTAAATACTTCAATAATTTAAATATATATATATTGTAATCAGTAATTGATTAGTTTTCTAACTTTTAATGAATTCTAATAACATTTTTTAATACCCATTAACTATGCCACTCTGCTATCTTATGCTTGAAAAATTTTTATAGATGCATTTTAAAAATAAATACTAATAATTATACAACAACATTTTTTTAGTTATATAAAATAGAAAAATTGTTTTATTTTATATATTAAAAATTTTGAATAAATGAAAACAAAATTTATTATTATTATTAAAATAAGATATTTTTTAAATATTTTATTTTTTCCTTTTTAATGTTGTTATATTTAATCAGTGTAATAAACATTTAACGTTAAAGAAATATCATTATTGTAAACAATATTACAACATGTTATTTAAATCAAGCATACAAATATAAATTTTATAAAACTTTAACAAAATTCAATGACATTTATTAAAATAATATATATATAAATTCTCATTTAAGACAATTAATTATTCACTAACATAAACATTTATCTAGAATTTTAATTAATTTTATATCAAAAATAAAATTAAAGCAAATTATTTTAGATCACACTTTCAAGATTTTTATTTCTCTTGTATTTCTTACCGTAATACCTCCAAACTTTCTATTTTTCTAAGAAATACTATTCCAATTGTATAAGTAGCTAGAATTTATAGCATGTTTAATTTTAATTATTTCACAATTAAATATAAATAATGCTAACTTTCTCTAACAAAACTTCATTACATTAATTACAAAATATTTTTTTCTAATATTTATTTCATTACTTTTTTAATATTATACAATAGCTTTTAAAATAATCTAGTTGTTAATTTGCTTATGTTTGCTATTATTTATATAAACTAAGTATATAGGATATCCTAAAATTTTATCAAAAATTACAATTTGCTATTTCAGGAGAATCTTTTTTAATATAAGAAAAATCAAATAGTATTTATGTCAAAAAATTGATTTTAAATGTAAATTTTATGATATCCTTTATGCTGTAAATAGTCATGGGAAAAAAATATTTTAACAATCTCTTGGAAAATATTTTGAAATTCTAATTTAATGATTTTTATGGTCTTGTTTACTTTTTTTAATGATTTATTGTTTAAACATTTTATATTTTCTAACTGATATTATATTTGCAAAGAGATAATTTTCTCAATTATTTTTCATGTTCTATATAAATATTAAATTGAAATAATTTTTAATAAAATAGAAATATTGGCAGAAATTGTTAAATTAATTATATCGCAAACACCACTTGAAATTAGAACAGAATAAGAAATATAACTGAAAATTTTAAATAAATAGTCTGCATGATGCTTTATATTTAAATAGCTTTTTATATATAAACAAAAACCTGTTTTTTGTAAACTTTTACAGTTTATTTCATACTAGAAAACTTTTTGTTTTTTTTTATTAAATGCTGTTTTCAGAAATTTCTTATTGTATGTATTTGTATTTATTTATTTATTATTTTTTGGCCTGCTTCTATTCACACCATCTTTATAGAAATTTTTCCATATCTAGATTTTTGCTTGAAAGATTTAAATTATTTTAATTCACATAATTAAATAAAATATTTAATATAACTTCATTAAATTAGAAATAAATACAAATATAAGATGTGTACAATAGTATGTAATATCAAATTTTGTGTCATATTACCTAAATTGTTTAATGATTTCATAAAAAAATTAAAAACAGTTAATTTAATTTTAGTAAAATCTAACAATTTAGAATAGATTTAAGCAAAGTTATATTTTATGTGCTTCATAAAAATAATGTAATCTATTAACTATTTTTTAATCACAATTTGACAAAATGAAAATAACTACAGAGAAACCTGCATAAATTGGATTTATATGGTATTGAACATTTTTTTCTAATTTGGCAGGTTTTCATTTCGAGCCAAGCTTTTTTAACATAGAAAATTGATGCATTCTTAAGAATTTTTCCATTTAGGCAGGTTTCTGTTTTATTAAGGTTCCATTTCAGACAAGCTTTACCATATATAAAATATAAATCATTTACACAAGACATGTACTAAGTGGAAATGCAGTTCAATATAATTTCATATCTTTACTTTCAGTTCAAACAGAATATATTTAATTAAACATTTTCATCCTGATTCAATAGGCCATTTCAGATGTAACCTGATAAAGGCCTGTTGAATTAGACTGAAAATATACATTTTAATTAAATATTTTCTGTTTGTAATGGAATTAAAGATGTGAAATTTAGAAATCATTTGGTTGCAATTTCAAAAAATTGTAGACCTATAAATTCCCACTGTTGTCCATCCACCTGTCTTTCCTTTATTCTTGAGAACAAAATTAGATAGATGGAAGACAAGACCAGATATGGAAACCTTAGGGGCAGGAGACCCCAATTAATTATATGTGAACTTCTGATGCAAACTAGAGATGTTATTTCAAGTCAAAAATTTTCCACTGAAAGGAGTTAGTTAGATGGCTGGCATGACTGTATTGATAAAGGTAAAGTATGATATACAGGGGCAGGCCATTACTAATTTAAGGTGGAGAGTATATATTTTAAATGAAATAAATTAAAAATATGATTAAAAATTGCAGTCTTTCATTGTGACAGTGTCACAATAAATAATTGTTTATTCTAATTGTTTCACTATAAATAAATATAACAATTTCTCAAACTTTTCTAATACTGTATATTTTAACTAGCAAATAAGCCTGGCGTTGCTCGGGCAAAAAGTAATGATAGCGAATATTAAGGTTATAGCCAATCTTACTCGTTTTCACAGAATGCAAGAATTAGTCCTCCTGTTTCCAGACTAATTAGAGAACTTTTAGATGGGGGCTAAAAATATGTTCGATTTCCTGCAAAAAACCACATCTGTGCCTGTTAATCTTGCACACCACTTTCTCTTAACATCCATTCTTAACAGTTTCATTGTTAACACTTTTATTCTTAACACTTCCCCCGTGGGGGGAATTATGAAAAATCCTTCTTAGTGTGCGTTCTCGTGACATACCCTAACTGTGTACCAAATTTCAACTTTCAACTCTTAACCGTTTGGGCTCTGTGCTTATTATTAATATTATCAACCCATCTCGATTATATATATAGATAGAATTCATTAGAATGTTATAAAATTCTATTGATTTGTAAATATTTTCTTCGTATCTGTCTAGAGCAAATTAATATAAAATCATTGGTCAAGTCTTGTATAACATAATATTTATATTTGATTCATTAAAAAAAGATGTATTTTACACTATGCATTTTAAAATCCAAATGTCAGAATAATAAGTGTAAAATATGAGTGAATAACAAAAAGAAAATTAATTTATGAAATTATTAAAAAAGGAAATTGTATGAAATACTGTAGTTTCAATATTTTTAAGTCATTTTATTAGTTCAGAAAATAGATCATATAAACAAATCTATATTTTAGATCTTCAAGATACTTGAAAGTACAAAATACTAAAATATAATATGTAAGTTCCAAGCAAAATAGTCAATGGTAGATAAATAATGCAAAGAAATGATAAAATTTAGAATCAAAAAACATTAATTATCATTTGACTTTAATTACAAGAAATTATTGCATTTTTGATAATTCTTAAATCATTTTATGAAAAATTATTTTTATAGGCTAGCAAGAGAATACAAATTTTTATAGTTAAATAAGTAATAATTTAAGTTTTTATGGAAATTCTACATAAAAAAAGTCTAAAGATTTTTGATTAGAATATATTCTAAAGTTTTTCTCAGTCTTATTATTTATAATGATTTTAGGTTTTCTCTTTTTATCGTTATATTTTCTTTAAACTTTATCAAGTTCAGTTCATTGTTATTAAAATGTAATTTACTTCTTATATTTAGTTATTCTGGCTAAAATCATTCTCAAAATAACTTTGATGCGATATGGCAAATATTTCTTTAATTTTAGAGCTTATACTTAATCTTTATTAATAATCTTTGAAGATAGGTCTTGAAATTCAAAAAAATTTGAATATGTATGTATAAATATTTATATGATATATTTTTCTGCTTCAAGAAAGCATTTTGAAGGTATGAAATTATTAATGAATTCAAAAATTTTTTATTAAGAATGAATCAGTAAATTTATTATTTTGTTTATATTCTTTATGATAGTCAACAGAC